CTACTCCATTCAAGCATGTACTAGGTATAAGCAAATTGATATTGGATTAGAATTTGTTGGATATGTGTAAAATTATGTGTGTTGACATATCAACCGTCTTTACATGCTTGAAAGAATAAATCAAATCAAATCAAGATATTAACTCAAAGGCTTCTGTCATTTGCCTCAGCTCATCACCTTGCAACAAGACTCATACAGGAGCTATTCCTGACTTGTGCATACAGCTTCTTGAGGGAAACACAGGCTATGCATTTTGTATTTCTGCCAAGAGAGGGTGTAAGAAGCTCTGAGGCTGTCCCTGCACATTAAGCATATGGCAGTTCATTCACACTGAACGAGGCAGCCTTAGCTTTCCCTTTAGCCCTGCAGCATTCCCTGTGCAAGTTTCAAGTCCTTTTTACCCACCTAATGACAAACACTGGTGTTCCTGTGTGCGTGTGGCCCAGTTACTACTGTCAGACCCACTGAAACCACTGTAAGATAAATGGAGATTTATTTTAAACTGTCCTGTCTCCTGACCTCTGCTGTTGACTCAGGGCCAACAACAGTAAGGAAATGGTCCACCCTACATGGCACGGCAGCAATCGCTCCTACCGCCTAAGACATGAATTCAGCTTGGTGTCATTTTATTTAACTTGTTTAGACTTTATCTATGATCAAGAGGGAAGTTTTGATTGACACTGGGGTAAAAAAAAACAAAAAACTAACATTTCATAGACTAAATTAATTGATAAATCAGCATATTCACAGATAATAAATAATTGCCCTATTCCATAGTGACTGATTGATGACAATAATGCATCTGTTAAAAGTACTAAGAGAATTCCTGAATAGCTTTTTATTCTTACAATGTATTTATTCCACTATGTGAAATACTATGTGCAATATTTGAAATTCACCATCTTATTTTTGCATTCATGTTTTTCAATGTTATCCTTATGTAACTTTATTTTTAGACTAGGTGTTCTTTTTCTGGCTTTTAACTCTTTACTTGACTCCAAGAGAGCCCTGCACAAGAATTCCTATATGCCTAGACTGTCTATGCATAAATGGCAAATAAAAAATCTTGAATTTATCATAATTTCAAGGTATAATCTGAAAATTAAAAAATAAATAAATTGGTTTATTTGCTTTCAAAGAGTCCTGTTGGTTACAATGAATCTTTTCTGTAACATTACTTTAAAAGATCTTGTAACTGTGTCTGAGAAATATGTTACCGAACATGAACTAAATAAGACCAAGACATTCAAAACCTATTGAATACTCACAAACATAGCTTGTCCATTTAGAATGTAAACTCCAGTACTGACTGATATTCTAAACTTTTAACAAATGAAACATCTATTTAACATGTATATTTAACAAATACACATAGAACTGTCAGTGTCACCTTAAAAGAAGCTTCCTCCCACAGTTTGAGGGAAAGCAGTCTTTCAGTTCAGTACAGTTCAGTATGGGCTCTGCTCTTTTGCAGCACTATTCTCACCCTTGCATCGTATAGCTGAGGTTTCAGCTTTGGACATGAGCCCACACAGCAGTTTCCTTGAGAGGTTTGTGTCTGCGGCTCTGCACTCATTCAACCCTGCCAGCATGTGGCATTACACAGAGGCAATCAGTTTGTGTAACCTTTATTCATTTTTGTGGTTAAAAGTGCCACAGAAATATTTTTACAATTGTAAATTAAACTGATACACATCGAGGGAAGCTTGTAGAACTTCTTTTAAGTTGTAACAAGGATTAAAACAACGCCCAATATGAAACTATCCTTTTACATGCAAAGAGCAGAATCATCATATCTTTCTGGCAGTGGACAGCTGACACTGTGGCAATGCATGGGAGCTGTGTAATTGGAACCCTGTGAGCCTATTCTGAGCATACAGAACAGAGCTGATGAGCTGAGCATCGTTATGTTACCCCAAGCCAGACGCTCCCAACACCTCCTGCACCCTGCTGGCTGTTAGTTGCCAGACATCCAGTACTCGCTGGGGTAAAAATGAAAATGAAACCGAGCCTCTCTGCTGTATACACCTTTTTTGGAAAACAAGGGTACTCCTGGGACTGGCTGGACAGTAAGCACTGACGTCAAACTAAACAGGTGACCTAACTTTCTACAGTTTCATCTTATAAGGTTTGTGACGCTTGTCTCTTAATATATGACATTACATATGAAGTATAATTAATACTGTGTTTATCCATGATATTATTAAAAGATGTTTAATAATACATCTTGATCCAAACTTTCAGGGCAGCAATATGTTAAAAAAAAGCCAGCCACAGTGAAGAATCCATGAGCAGAGGGTGCAACTGAAATATGTGATACCAATGTCTGTGCATGGAGGCATTACTGGCAGAGTGGTCATTCCCCTAAACAGCAGCTGATTTATTTAACAAAGTGGTATGAAAAACACAGTGCTTAGCTTAGCGGATCTCAAAGTGGTGAACTTGCTTAAGTGTTGCAATTCTGAAGTGCTACCTGTGCAGGAAATTGTGTTTGTGAAGGTGAGTGACACCAGCAGCAATTTCACAGGCCATCCTCTGCAGCTGCAGCAACTCAGCATTTCGGAACATCCAGTCCTGCTGAGACAGATAGCCCCGCAAATCCCCCTGCAGACAAACACACAGCTTCATTAGCTCATCAGCATCAAACAGAAACATTTAAGAAATCTGGCAGAACCTTAACTGTATTATACTGTAGCACTAAGTGGTCCCAGTTAAATGCATTGTGCCTGGACTGCCACACAGGGGCAGCAGACTCTCCTGTTCCTGTCTCCTCAGCACTTCTCACTGCTGATGTGTGAGAAGACCAAATAAGGGTAACCCTGTTTAATGGACCTCTATGTAGTGTCACAGAGATTTATAAATAAAAGGGGCCAGCTCTGGTCAGTGAAATAAACTGCGCCTGTGGCTGGTTGGGTTTCGGAGCTCATGAGTGGAGGGGCGAAAAGAACAAGGGAAGTAGGGCAAGGCGCCCCAAGCATTAATTATACCCCAACACAATAAACAAACACAGGCTTATACACAATGTTAGAGTGTGATATGAAGTGCTGTGTTAGAATGTGGCATGTCAGCACATGAGTCTGACTGACAATACTATAAAAAGTCAATATAAGAAAGTAAATGTGGAACAAGAGGTTTACCTCCACTAAGATCACATACTCACAGGAGGCTTTGTGGCTGGACTGAGTCCAGAGGGACTGTAAATCTGAATTACAAACAAGCATCTCAGCTGCATGCAACCCACCTGTGGGTATCATTCACCATCATGCATGTAATAGACTAGTCAATGATTGAGAAACTGTTAAAAAATATACCACCGATATACCACTACAGTTTGTGCAAACAAGGTCAATGTACAGTCTGAGCACACAACTTCAGAGTGTTGACATTTTAGTCAACACCTGATTTAAATCTGTCTTTCTAAATGTGTAAGCAAAGGACCATTAAATTTATGCACATCTGAGATCATGTTCACCAGAGTTGGCGCAAACTCCTGATAAGCGAGCTGAACAGGGCTCCCCTGAGGAATGAGCTAATAAGAACATACTGTACAGACAGTGGAGTCATATAGTATGAGGCAATTCCTTTTAAATATGTCAAGCCACATGCAGTTGCATGCACATAAAGCTTGTTTGTTTGTGTTTATAAAGGGTTTATTTTTACCTGAGCTATCTCACTACAACCAGCTTAGAGCTGTTGTCTTACATAAGCACCATTTGTTTTGCTCCAGCCACATTTATCCACACACAGCTCTGGGAAGGGGTTTTCACAGAAAGCTATATTCAATGTATGTTAAGTGATACGCCCTGCCTGTCTTTATTGGTGAAGGCTTCGCAGCAGGTGATTAGGTCTGAAATCCAGAAAGAAGATCCAGTGCAACATCAACCATGAAAAGCTAACACAATTAGACTACATGTCTGAGCTGTGAGTAAACACAAATATGCCAAATTTGCAGTTCACAGATTCAGTTCATGAACACAGTTCATGTTTGATCATGTGATGGCTCAGCCATCACGACTGATTGTTGAAATTTATCTGTGTGCTAAACAGCGTATGTGGCCAATGGAAAGAATTGCGCAATCCAGAATAAGTCGCTCTCAAGTTACAACATTACTATGCAAAATGTTTTCACAGCCAACCAACTGTGTTTGTTAAATTCTGATTTAAAGAGTGAGTCACCATCACTAGAACAAGTTCTGAAAAGGATTAACTGTCCTACAGAAGTCAACCACATCAGGGAGAGACAGAGCACCTCAGCACACTGTGAGGATTGTTGCTTTAATGACCATAATAAATGAAAGAGAGGAATGAAAACCAAACGTCAGCTAGTGCATATCCAAGACCATGAACTAGTCAAGGCTCTGACTGACGTCCTGCAAAGGCACCATGCAGGAGATCCATGCATTAGAAACTGTCACTCACTCTGTGGTAAACAACATTCTGTAGCTCCTACACCAGTTGTGTGATGTGTTTTGATATTTAAAATGCTTTGAGTCAGGGCTACCCAGCATGGGGGACAAGGCAGAAAAACCACCATCAATGAACAGGTTGTCAGAAGGAACACACAGTCTACTGGCTTTCTGGAATTCACCTTGTCCACTCCGCTGCTGCAGTGTCACATTTCATGTTTCGACATGTTGATGATGATTTAGTTGCCATGAAGTAGTAAGAGGCTACAGACAAGTTGTTCTTCGTTTAAAATTCAAGCAGAAATGTGATTTAACGCTTGTTTCTACTTAAAGTAAATGTATTTTCAAGTTTTATGTGCAAGCAGTGCACATAAAATTGGAACTTGGATATGATAAAAGAAAGGAAACATTCTGTAAGACAAGCTCCCACATGGATGAGGTCATCAAAACTCTTTATCCAGTGAGGGGTAACAAGCACAAACATCACTCAGTTGTGCTACCATCACAAATCATCGCCTTCAACAAACAGACCCTGCTCATAATCACATAGCTTCCCTAATGACTCGCACACACTTGTGATAAGTCACTCACATTGACTCATTTCCATCTCCTGTCGGAGATGTTATTAGAGCTGGCTGGGAAAGATCACAATGCCAGGACACCAGCCAGGCCTGGACAGCTGACAGTACCTGGCCCAACAAGATTATAAATGTCTGGCAAGAGGAGCTGAGCTGAACTCTGCTGGGCACGTTGATAAGTTGGGCAAACTAGAGCAAGCCTAAACAGCAGAAATTTCATCCTGCATGCAAATAAAATCTAGTTTAACATCCAAGACATGTAAATAATACTTTTGCATGCACCCACGCTGTAGTCTGCACATTTACAGCTACACTACATAATATGAAGATTTACATCCAACAGATGAATGGGATGACTCCCTCTAAAACAACTGTGCAGTCACACTTCATAGATCATGTTGTGCAAACACATTCAGAGATACCATAAAGAGGGCATCCTGCATCCTGCATCCTGGCATCAAGCAGTAAGTGGGTGGACCTGGGCCTATTCTGTGCACCCAGACATACACAAGCAGACATATACATACTATATAATATACAGGGGTATCTAATTCAACGAGACACTCATACTTGTTGAGCTGTAGTACTGTTGGTTTACAAATGTAAAGAAATACATGTAAAACTTTGCTGTTTTTGCTCTCGGTCAGTGTGGCTGCAGCTTAATATACTGAATTCATCCTTTCCAACATACAAAACATGCTACGCATAAAAAAAAACAAACAGCAACTGGTGGAGCTGACACCAGAAGAGTGTAAATGCAAGTGCAAGATGGAAATGTAAGAAACCACAGGATAGGACTAGTTATGCGACTTGGACAGAGGTCATGTGGCAGAGGAGCAGGCAGTGGAGGGGGCCTCCCTGAAGTCAGGGCCCAGCCCAACTATGCATGTTTACCATAAAGAAAAACAGCCCATAAATCAGCTACCACGATGGAGTCTGAGTCACTTTAATATATTAAAATGAAAGGAAGAGCTAATCTGAGATTGAACTTGTAAGCTCTGAGCCCAGACCATCCATCAGGTGGGTCAACTATGCATGTTTACTGGATAATATTTAAAGGGTACCTGCCCTATTACATGTGTGATCAACAGACTAATGAGCTTGCTCTCAGATTTCTCAATTAATGAAGCCTTTGAGTGAAGAAGTGCTGAAATGGGAACTACTAAATCATTGTGCTCACAAATAATAAATAGCAAAAGATATGGTCACTCACCATTTCACAGTACTCAAAAACGAGCAGGAAGGGAATGGCCTCAACACACTGTCCGAGGCACTGGAGGATGTTCGGGTGCTGCAGCACTCTGTGACAACAACAAACTTTATATAAACTTTATAAAAATACCTTAAAATAATATCTAAGATTTTTGAGGAGATTAAGTGGGAAGCAACGCGTAAGAAGAAAGGTAGAGGGCGCTGCTACAGTGATGTCACAAAGCCATTTTTGTCCATATTTAGGGGCGTAAAGGTACACGTATTTGTACCAGACCTTTTTAGTACCCGGCTTTAGGTTCGGTGCAGATGTGTGCCGAAAGCTATTTTTAATAGCGGTTAACAGTAGGCTTGTTTTGTGTGCAGACCATTTTTTCAAATCTGAGTTCCCAAACAAACATATTAAGTGTCGGAGCAGAGCGCAGTGAACACACACCCCACACTTAGCTTAGCCAAGCCTCTGGCTAGCAAGCAGAGCTAGAAGACCCTCCCTTATCATTAAGCTCTCCTAATTTTAAACAAGCATTTTAATGACTTGTATTTTTGTCCTTACTGTACTGAAAATGACCCAAACTGTGACTTCAAAACCAAAGTACGTACCAAACCATGATTTTGTGTGTACCGTTACACCCCTAATATTTACTGTGTTCTTGCCGTACCACACATTCATTTGAAAAGTAAATGAACAATGAAAACATGATTCTGCTTACAAAAAAGGGGTTAGGGTGTTCAAAGACAAAATAATCTTTACTAACCTGTACGGATCTCCTTGCTGCAGGAAGTCCTTCTGCTCCTTGGCACTTGCATTAGCTTTTAACTCCTTCACCACCACTCTGGCTCCACCTGGATCGGTGTAGATTTCACTAAGAAGGACCTGATAATACATGACAACAGAGTCAGTGCATAAAACCTTTATGTGGCTCAGATGAGGCAGGCACTCTTCAGACT